GCTCATATAACCCTTACATAACCCTATATATAGCAATTTCCGTTTCATTTTCCATGTTCTTTTCCATTTGATTCTCCATTATTGGGGTGTGTATATATATATATATAGGATAGCCATGGGGTCCTTATTCTGGGAGTTGGGCTTACCAAAATCCACTTCTTGACCTTGGCCCCATCCGTCAGCTGTCTTTAGCAAGGTTCCAGGGAAACAGCCAAGGCTTTTGCTGCCCAACTAGGGTTGCAAAAGAAGCCTGTTGAACGGTTCGGGTTTAGGGTTTAGGCTGTTGCGTCCTCTCTCCCTGAACTGCGTTATCACTCGTCCTTCTTTCTGCTTTGAAACTGTCTCAAAAAAACAGCCAAGAAAATTAGCAGAGAAGTCCTATTATAAGGACCTGGCCACTGCAGGGACACTTGGAGGTTGGCCACTGCAGACACACTTGGAGGTTGGGCACCGCATGCATACTTGATGGTTGAGCACTGCGGGGATACTTTGCGGCTGGGCACTGCAGGGATACTTGGTGGTTGGGATACTCTGCGGTTGGGCAGTACTGCAGGGATACTTGGTGGTTGGGCACTGCAGGGATACTCTGCGGTTGGGCATTTCAGAGATACTTGGTGGTTGGGCACTGCAGGGATTCTGGGTGGTTGGGCATTGCAGGGATACTTGGTGGTTGGGCATTGCAAGGACACTTGGCGCTTGGGCACTGCAGGGATACTCTGCGATTGGGCACTGCAAGGACATTTGGAGGTTGGACACTGCAGGGACTCTTGGTGGTTGGGCAGTGCAGGGAGCACTGCAAGGACACATGGTGGTTGGGCACTGCAGGGACACTTGGTGGTTGGACATTGCAGGGATACTTGGTGGCTGGGCACTGCATGGATACGTGGTGGTTGGACATTGCAGGACTCTTGGTGGTTGGACACTGCAGGGATACTTGGTGGCTGGGCACTGCAGGATAGGTGGTGATTGGACATTGCAGGGACACTTGTTGGTTGGCCACTGCAGGGATACTTGGTGGCTGGGCACTGTGGTTGGGCACTGCAGTCAGGCTCCGGGCAGAGGGCGAGGACAACATAGACTAAAAAATCTAACAACCCCACTGCGTGGGTGGGGAATAACGCAGCTATTGCAGCACAGCGCAATTGTATGGAATGGAGGCCCTGCAAGCACTACTGTCTCTTGAAATGGTTGTGCGTGTTTCCATGTTTGTTTGGAGCAGGGTAGGATTTTAGATTAGGATGTAGGACTTATGCAGGCTTGGGGGGCAGAGCTCAGGGCGTAGGAAACAGAGTGGGTTCATAAAGATTTCCCGGCTGAAGGTTTAGCACGTCCCAAACCAAAACCTTACAGGTATGAGGCTAAGCTTTAGGACATGGTCATCAGCAATCTCTGAGACAGGTCAAGGATTCTGATTTCAGTTTATTCTTTAGCTCGGAGTTCAAAGGATTGTTGGTTTACGATCCCTGGGCAACAAATTTTAGTCGAGCTCCCTATCCCCACGAGCACCATCCTCACCCCCCTCCACCCCCCGCCGACCCCCCTTCAAGTTCTCTCGAGCGGCTGCCCCTAGGCCTCCCCCAGATAGCCTAGGCCCCGGAGTGCGAGGCTCCCCTAGCCCCACGAGCACCATTCTGACCTCCCTCCCCCCCCCTTCCAAACCCCCTTGAAACCATCAAAAACGGTTTTTTTGAACGGCTGCCGCCTCCCAAAAAGGTACCCTTAATTTTAGGAAACCTCCATATGGTAGTTTCCCAAAATAAGGGAACCCCAATATAGACCCCAAAATACTATAATCCTTATTATGGGGACCCCCAAAAAGGTACCCTTAATTTTGGGAAACCCCCATATTGAGCTGGCCATGATTCATCTAGATGCCTTATAGCACTCAACTCGGAACCCTCTCCACCGGTCCATAAATAGGGGGACCCCAATATATAGCCTAAAATACTATCCTTATTCTACGTACCCCCACAAAGGGTCCCCCATTTACCGAAACTCCCACCTCAAACTGGGGGTAGCGGTGCAAATCGACCATCCGGGCCAATTCCACTGCCTTCTTGCGCTCCTCCTCCGTGATGAGCCCGCGGAACCTGAATTGGAAGCAGCACACTTCATGATGCCTGCGCACACAAAACGCGTTTGGCGCCTCAGCTGTTGAGAACACAGCCATCTTACATTGCACCTTTTCAGAGCGGACCTCTGAGCTTGGTGGGCGGAGCAATGCGACACCCTTACAATAGTGCCATTTTTGAAAGTCTTTTATGCTCGCTGTCCCACACAGCCACACAGCCCCTCATTCCCTGATTACGCAAAGAGGTACTGTAGTCCACCTTTACGTGGTGTTGCCCTTCTCAAATTTGAACAGCCGCGTGGCCAGAAGTCGAGGAGCTTCTCAAGCTCTGCGTCGAACCCTGCAGACGAGGCGCTGATGATCTCGAATGACACCGCATGCACTTCCACATGGGGATGTTCGAGGAAGCTGGTCATGTTGGCAACGACATCTAGCATCGTCTGTGCCATGAACTGCACGCCTTCCTGCACGTCCATTTTCATGACTTCCTGCGGCGAATACACGTCATTGAACCACTCCATTCCTCGGTGATGATAGCAGTAAGCCGATGCCACCATGTCCAGTGGGTCGCGCACAGAGTTCGCAACTCGAATCGGCTGCAACGGATACGCTGCCTGTTCATTCTGCGCGCTTTGAACGGAGCAGCAGTCAGTTTCGATTCGCACTGGTGCCTGTCTGTTGAAGCAATAAAGCTTACCAACACCATCGCAATGGAAGTTCCAAGCGCCAAAGTCTTGTGTCATGTTCAGGCCGAGCCCTTTGAAAACCTGAGCCGTGAGATCCTTCGAAAGGTCCACACCTGCCTTGTGATGGCTGCAGGTGACATACCTATGCAGTTCCCATGGTCTGAGAGCTTCCGCTTTGCGAGCTTCCGCTTTGCGAGCTTGCCTTGTTCTCTCGTCAACCGCGTTGGCCCGGACCTGAACCATGGACACCGCAGGCACCGCAGGGTCTACCGGATGCATTGGCGGGGGGTGTTCCGGAAGACCAGAAGATAGCAAGGCCGAGGTCCAGAGAACCAGAAAATTAACTCGACTGCCCATGGCAGGCAAGGAACAAGTCAACATCATGTAACATCCAAGGCACAGGCAAGGGTTTCCTTGAGCCCAGGACTGACAAAGCATGAAGAATAAACCAGCAAGCAAAGCAGAAAAGCGGCAGTACTTGACTGATGATTAGGTGCATACTGATACTGCACACAGTCTAAATATCTCCAGGTGAGTGGACTGCAGCTTTCCCTCCCACATGGCGCTATTCATGTGCAGACAATCGGAAGGAGGATGCCACGTTAGACAGCCAGCCTGCCAGCCTGAGCAAGAGTAAGGGGCCCTGATTGGGCGTCTGTCTTGGGGCACATGCACAACTGGGGCGCATACACGAGGCACACGCTGCAAACTCCCTTCATGTCTTCAGGAGAGCCGCGCAACTGGGACCAGCGAAGGGGAACCGTCTTCAAGAATAATTACCAGGATGCGCTCTAATTTTTGGCTGGACCCCACACCCTGCGGATCAGATTCTTTGCGGCCCAGCCGGCGAAGCGAGACTAAAGACTCAAGCTTGCGAAGCCGCGCGCATCTTGGTGGGATTTACAAGAGGCTTACACACGCCTGCCCGCATCCAAGCGCCTTCAGAGTCCCAGTCGTGTGGCCACACATACGCTGCAGCAACCGCTGGTACAAGACAACAATGAAGATCTGGCTTGTGCTTGTAAGATTGCAGCGACTCAAATGACTTCACAACTACAAGGATAAAAATGACATATGCGGCTTTGACGGGAATATACCATTCGCAAGTCCGTGGGCATGATATCGGGACAGGATCACGAGTCACATGAAAGGCGGCATGTAATTGCACCACCCTCATGCACCAAGCTACCAGATGAAGTGAGTATTGGCCGTAATGTGTATGTTACCAGCCAAAGCACTACATGATAGCCAGCTTGCAACTAGGAAGAGCACTCACCGCGCCATGAACAAGCAGACACTGCCATCAAGTCACTTGATCATTAGTGCTCTGCAGAAGCCCCATGTGATCAGCCTTGCTCTTCTGTAACACGACGCTAAAACACACCGGTACTCCGCCTGTTCTGCCCCCCTTTCAAATTGCTACCAAGCAGACGATTCGCATGTTTTTTCGGGAGCAATGACGGTCACGGTCAACGAAGAGTGCAAGCAGGAGGCACCTCCATGACTTGGTGTGCTCGACACACCCACGGGTACTTCAAACTCCTTTGGTGCCTGCACATACTACCAGACGATTCCCCTTCAAATGGTTTTAACCACGTCCTGTAGAGTGTATCGAAATTAGAGGTAGGGGTGTCCAATAGGGGGGAGATCATTTGAAGACCCGCAGCCCGTCCTCTCAAGCACAGAGCAAGCTCCGCACCGTCTGAAATCTATGAGGCCCATTGCAACCCGAGAGCATCTGAGCAGCGCCAATAGTAGCAGCAGTGTTTGGGGTGAGACTACAGATTGCAGGAACATCATCTGAATTCAGCGCACACGGGTTCTTCGAATCGGCCTCCTTCACAGCCTAGGGGCAGGTGTGGCCTTTCTAAGGCGTATGACAGCTGCCCAAAGGAAGGGAAAGTGCCCAGTGGCCACGAGCGGCTCCCGGAGCTCCGCGGACCTTGCGCCTTGGAAAGCGCTCGCACGAGCCGCTGTGCCGAAAGATCATTCTTTGGATCTTCCCAGGCAAGGACCACCCCGGGTCTGGGCACGCCTGCCCTGGCTGTAAGTAAGATGAGAGCACTTCTTGATGAAGGCGTGTTAATCCTGGTGCGGATACTGCACAGAGCAAAGGGAATGCGGACCTCCTGGTTCACATAGAGCTGTTTAAATCTAGGGGAGAAGCCGGCGAAACACAAAACCCCATACCACGGCTACAGAGCACGAGCCACACACTTTCAACCCCTGGTAAAATACCTGCAGCAAGCCTGCTGGGTGCTTTCTGGGGGATGCCCTAGCATACTCCACAATACCTCGAGCCCCACTTTAAAAAAAGCGACAGAGACCAGATTTCTGGATTCTTGCTGGAATGGGGCGGCAGAGGCCAATCCCTTGACTAGTTGACTAGGCCTACCTAAGCGCACTGGAAAGGCACGGGCCATTTTATTGTTTATACAGGGGTTGAGAAAAAGGTCTGGCTGGGGTTTATGGGGTCATGGTTCTGTCGGTCCTGGTTCTGTGAGGGTTTGGCTGGTCATGGCTTGCAATGCCGTGTCGCTACAAGCTAGCAGTTGTAGAGGCTCACCTGGTAGTGGTACCCGGTGTACTCCTTCGATTTGTCAAGGCTGCTGACTTTTCGCGGCTGAGCAAGGTTGGGAAGCGCATCTGAAGCCAACACTGGCAATCTCATCCCCCGAAAAAGTGGCCCCAAAACCACTAGTTACGATTATCAGCCTGACACGTCTATTGAGAATAATCATTTGAGGCGGCACTGCTGGTTCCACCTTGGAGCTTTTCAAACTGAATTTCGAATTCCTCGTTGAAATTTTGCATCGTAAAGCAACATGAGTATGACCCATGATCCAAACTGTCCGAAAACTCAAAACCCTGGTGTAGCCCTCCTGACCACATAATGTGTGTGAATGGGGGGTTCCGAAAGTCTGGAGTCCCCTCTTGCAGCCCCTCGCTGCATGGAAGGGGACTTTTGCTTGCAAACTATTATCTGATATGGCTGCTAGGGCTAAGGCACCACACAGAAGCATCATGGCAAAACTGCCTACATCATTGCCGTCACTGGAGAGCTCTGCTGTCGGTCACCCCATCACAAGGAATCAAAACTGACATCAGTTCAACCTAAACCTTAAACTCCAAACTCTCAGCCCTAAATCCTAAACCCCAAACGGAAAGCCCTAAACCCCAAACTCTGAGCGTTGAACCCTAAACCCTGACCTCTGAGCTTGGGCTGCAGATTCCCGCAACCAAACCCCAAATCCTTAATCTCAAGCCCTTCCAGCACATCAGATAAGGTAATTTCAATAGACAGCGAAACCCAACAGCTACAGTCTTTACAGCACGAAACCCCAATAAGCGACCCTTCTTTTTCAAAAGCCCCCATATGATCTATAGTCTAAACTCCTAGTATCCCCCTTAATAACCCCTATAATATTCCCCTATATAACCCCCTTTAAAGAGTTTAACCTATAGCTCATATGGTCCCAAGATGTCCGAAGCAACCGTCTCAGCCGCACTCATATGTACAGTAGCCAAGCTGGGACAGGCCTGCCTTCAGCACAAGCCCGCGAAGAATAAGCGAGAGTTCATGTAGACCCTGATTAAGAAGCCCCCTCCTTGTAAGGGCCTTAATTTTTCGGATCCCTATTATAATTCCCATTAAGGAGAGTGGGTTTATCAACTAGCGGCCTACATTAACCAAGTCCGGTGCACGCAGTAGTGACAGCGCCATGCCCGCTGATGTTAGCATCTCTGGTCATCATGCTGCTAGCGCAAGCACATCCATCTGCTGCTAGTGACTGCTGGTGCTGTAGTTGCTGTGCTTCATGATTCAGGATGCTGAGCGTCAGGCTCTGCAGTCACATGCGAGTCGTTCAAGTTTCCACCAATGCTTCCGGTTTTCATAGCTCTTTGTAATGTCCCAGAACCCTACGGTCCCGAGCCTCGGAATGGATTGATAAGCCCTTAACTAACACAAGTCCTCCCTCAGCGGACGAGAGTACCCCTACCCGTGTACACATCTCTTGGCAAGACCGGCAGATGGGTACTTCCAAGAGCGGGGGTCCCGGATATATATCCGAAAAGTCGCAGGCATTCCGAAAAAGTTCCCTACTGTACCCTCTGGAAACCCTAGATGTGATCACTACCTATCCCGAACCCCGTCCGTTGAAGGGACCCCTTATCTCTGGAAACCCACGGAGCGGGACCAGCAGGTCAATTCAGTCTCGGCTGGTGCAACGCGTTCGCTGGGCTCTTCTTCAACCTTTCCCGAATCCCAAACCCTGAAAATTTACATACCTAATCTTTTGGAGGGGAAGCACCTTAGACCTATAATTAAAATAATATGTCCAATAATTCCTTAGGGTTATACTATACAAAAATCAAAATAATTCCTAAGGAGACTGCAGTACGCATTAGGTCCCACGAACCTCCAAGGATGGGCTTCAAATGCAGGGAGCTGTAAGGTTTTTCTAGAGGGGTGTAGGGGAGTCAGTCTGATATGCCCTGGAAGCATACCGTAGGTTTGATGGCGAACATTGTGGCTTCAACGTATTCTGTCGCGTGCTACAAATATCCAACAGGAACGGGTTCCAGACATGTTTGCTGTCGCCAAGGATCCATGCGTGAAGATTTTTGTAGCTCTATAAACTATAAGGCACTCTAATGTACTATACTATACTATACTATAATGTACTATAATGTACTCTAACTTACTATAATGTGCTATCTGACTCTGCGAACAAAGCTTGGGTCACTGCTACAGAATCAACCAGCACTTTATCAGAATGAATCTCTTTCCTCATGGGTTCCCACTAAACTTTTGAAACCTTCTATCTATTTCTAGGCTCAATACCTACTGTGATGAGGCGGCTTTTGGTCTTCCTGAAGAGTCATGCATGATTATTGCTATTATTGCTATTATTTTCTATTATCATGATCATTTTTATTATTGTTATTGTCATTATTATTGTTGGTTGCGGTACGGACCGTCTGTTCGTGGTGTGTGGCTTCTGGTCAGAGGAAGATCTAGTCACGCTGCACTCTGGTCACCAAGAAAGGGTTACGTATTGATTATATGAGCCATTGTCTGAACTCCTACTATCCCCCTTAAAAACCCTATAATAGTCTCCTATGCAATCCCCGTTGTAACCCCCCTTTACGGAGTTAAGACTACAGCTTACATAGAGGTGTATAGGCATAACGGAAAAGAAAATGGAAGCTCTTGTTCCACTATGCCACTCTTCTGCCCGATGCCATATGCGCTGGCTTTCTACACAGGTGCTTCCAGAAAATTTGGGGTTCCTGTACAGGGATCAGATTGGCCTGGGTTGTGAAGGGGGTGGGTCCTTGTTGGAAGCTCCAAT